GTTGTTGCAAGAATGACAACTTAGAATATTAAGGATGTTTCTAAAACATCACATTGACTGGTAGAACAAAATCTGTTGACCACACTTCACAATTCATGGTTCATGTTCCTTAAGGGACATGCATGAGTATCACTGTCACACACCTGAGCATACTGCAACAAACCTAAAAAGTTCTGCTTGACTAATTACACATTATGTCATTGGTGAGACACCAGAAAAAAAAAATAAGGTAGGATATGTTCCATCTACTTTTTTCCAACAGAACAGAAATGCAAGAATTGTCAATGTATATGTATTTGCTCTATTCCTTTTTCAAACGATAACATCCTCTTATAATATATGGCTAACTCACCAGCTGAAGTGTCACCCTGGTTCTTGTGATTAAACAAACAAAGGCGGTTCTTGTGATTAAACAAGGACATATCACTGTTACAAGTAATTAATGTATCAAATTCATATTACAACATTTTTTAGAATTGTTTTGTTGGGAAACAAACCACTAAATACACAAGAGTAGTGTCAACATGAGTTTTGTATGTATATGTTAATGATGTTATCGACATATTTATAATTCATGGAATACTAAAATGTAATATGACATCAAAATAATTACTTATTCACATTATTGATGTACAGGTGAGAGATAACAATTCAAAGTTACATCAGTAACACTGTGCTGATGCATTGACAAATATTTAGTATCCATACACATATCCATTGTGGAAAAAATAACTACTAATTATGACAATATAATTAACAATTTTAAAAGCTGTGAACATGTGTAAAAAATTAAACCTTAACAAATCTTTCATCATAACGCAACCATTGCGATCTATATATTTAGGGAATAAATTTAAAAATTCTTTGTGAAATTGTTCTAAAATCATGCTAGAATCTACACTGCTTTAAAAGGAATAATCCTTTAACTATCCCAAACTTAATGTGAAACTAACACTGACGTAGTATTTTATTTTATGCATCTTATCCTATTCCGCAATGCATGAATGTTATTTTGAAACACAGTTTGTCACGCCCATTTACACGCACCTGTTGTGGGGGATGATCATTGCCGATCGACGATATCTACAGACGTATTGCGTGGGAAATACGTATTATTGTGGAAAGAAAATCATCAGCTTGTACAGCGCAAATACATGAATCATGTCCCTTCATATTCAACGTAACATCGAATCGTATTCCTAATCTATCAACAAAAGTTCAAATAAAAGATACCAAGAAACTTGCTCGTGGCATGTTAATTCATCGTCCACCGTTACCGGTCACGGGAGCATGTAAGATCAAACGGAATAAAAAATAGCCCAATTATATACTAGTAATGGAAATCACATTGTTATTTCATATTAGTGGTGATAACTGATACTTTGTAGTGATTTGGGTTTATTCTGTATGTGACAGGGGAAATATTTCAAAATTTACGTTTATTGTTTTGTAACGAAAAATTATCAGCAGACTACTCCTTTCAGTGACATCACATCTGGTGACCTTTGCACTTACTGAAATAATTGCTGTCAGAATTCACGATCTTTATTTTCGTCATATTAAACGGAAAATGACAAATGATACATTCTTCGATTGAGAAGATCGTCAACTTTCACAAAGGCATATATATGAAGGCAATGTTAACTTTGTTGATATTAAAATAGCAATAAGTTATGCCGAGGTCGGACGAAGCGCGCCATGTTTGATTTCCGAACGTCTACTAGCATCATTACACAGGATTTGTTTTTTCGTATATCGTAAATATTCAATCAAAACACTTGAAATTAGTTTGGTGAATATTTATGAGTCATTAATTTTTCCTGCAAATAACATGACACGTTAGATGAACACGAATGGTCGTATTTCTGCAACTGACATGATGACCCCGAAAATTGAGGTGTTTTCTGTTTAACGTTTGGATAATACATTTACTGAAATGGTTCATTATTTAACATCGCGCTGTTATTTACTGATAGAAAACATCAAATCTACGATTTTGGAGATTTGATTATTAAAATCAATTTGCACAAATTTCACTATTTAAAAAGGTTCCCTACATGAAACACAAACCACCTTCAACAAAGTAATTCAGGCAAGTTCAAGAAAATATTCAAATTTTGCATTCGTTTTGGTCCTCACCTTGGTATGATTGAAAACATGAGGACATTTTTACATAGTAATGTGAAAATGTCTATAAGTAATGAATGTAAACAAATATTTCTTCAATTGGCCCTTGTTTATTGAAGCACCGACTGTTTGAAATCGTCCACCCTCTTTAGAGCGCCTTATGCTGAAACAATTCAGCTGGCTAATGTTTAAGTAACTTAAGGAGAGGATGATATATCTTACGAAAAAATCTGTATTCTATAATGCACCAACATATCGCAAACAATGCAAAGTGCGTATGCATATGTGTAAACATAGAAAATATCTTCATAATTCTTCGGTCACCTTAACAAAACGACGAGAGTGCAAGGGAAAGGCATTCAGGTGGAACACTGCGACAAAGCAGTTGCATTCCTGGTCGCTACTCCCGTTTTCCTCTGATCTGAATTGAAAGCTGATATTAGGTAACTCCCACATTACAGGATTACAACCCCGTATCCAGGCTACCATTGATAACAAAACTACTGCGTAGAATGAGTCATACAGATATTCATTCGCACAGGCGTTCAGAACCAACTATGCAAATACTCGCGAACATGTAACTCAAGATTTCATAGTTCTAACGGCATTTGGGTGTATTTGATATTTGATCAAAATTTTATCCAAAAAATATCACTTTAATCAATAAAGATTTCAGAAGTCTAGAATATTGATGCCATTTGACTATTTTGCAATGAACTGAATAATCTGTATATTACTGACATTTCATCTGACATTACATCAAGACCAGTGGTTGTGTGAAGATCACTTTTCACCCCGGATTCCCAGCTTATCTCGGAAGCTTTACCACTGTTGTGTATTGGTGAATATTATTATCACTTAACTTTAAGCTTTCACCACTGTCCTCATATTTGTAGTTGATACTGTCACTGAATATTGTACTTCCACTCTATTGCACACTGCCATTGTAATTACTGTACAGTAATTTTTATTGATCTGTAAACCTAGTTTATTCTGCAAAAGAATTTTTGAAAGAATGTCATGTGCTGGTTGTTTGTTGGTTTCACAATAAATTCTTTTACGTACAGATGTTTGGGGTAACATTTTGTTTCAATTTGGAATCGACACGTAACAGTGTCATGAAAGCAGAAAGACTATTGTGGCATTTATGAAGCAATCATTTCAGTTGCTACATAAACGATGGAAATGTTGACCATTGTAAAGTCAGCTGTGTTGACATGTCATGTGTAAACACGGTTCATTGTCTAACCTGTGTCAGAATACAAGAACTTTTGTATGTGTGTAGCAGAATGTAAATAGTGTGTATTTTAACTTAGGTATTTTAGACATAGGTAAATAATTGAGTTAAGCATGAGTTAATTAGTTGAGTTAATAGCTCCTATAATACTGTTATAAGGTGCTTTCAGTATTTATATAGTTTATAGTAGCTGTACCTGTTAGAATACATTATCATTAGCAATAATTTGAAGCTTTCAGCTATAAATGTAATTATATAGTGTACAGGATTTTAGTACACAAAATCTTGTATGAGTTAGTTGATGATTATGTACAGAGTTCTATGAAAGTGTTAGTAAATATGTTCTGATGTAGTGCATATATATATATATATATATATGTGTGTGTGTGTTAGGTTTATATTACTGTGTGTGCGTGCGTGTGTGTCTTTCTGCGTGTGCGTGTGCGTGCGTGTGTGTGAGAGAGAAAGCATGTCTGTGTGCATATTAAAAACATTTTACTTAATTGTGCCTTTTCATTAATAGACTTATAGGTCATAGTGTTGGTATTGAAGAGATGAGCCTGCATCCCTGAGACGAGGTTGGTATTTATGTGCTAATAGTTGTATGTATATATTGTTATATTTTGATGTGTATGACATCATATAAATGGGATTTGTAGGTGTAATAAATAATCAACTGATTGTTGTTCTGATAATATATGCTGAAATTCATGTTCATGGTAAACATTAAATGTAATATGTTTGTTTAATCATAGATTCTTGTAATTGTATATTACCAATTCAACCTTATTATATTATATTTTAGGGAATTATCATCCATAGCCATATTGTGGTGGGATCTCCATTTCCCCGATCTGAATAGACGGAATAAATCCCATGAACCCCCAACAAGTATTCGTCGTCTTTACATAGACGTGATACTGCTGTAACATGTGTCGTCACTCAGGTATCTGTACGATTTTGGCCTGTGGTCCATCTTTCCGGAATAGTTAACGAAAGATATATGTTTCTGACTTCTCAAGAAAGTTTCTTTCACAACTCTACATAACACAAGCACATTGAACATTACTGTAATCAGCTGCAAATCTTTCTATAACATGCAATAAGTACAGACACACCACAAACAATGTAACCTGCAGGAAGTAACGGTTCTTGCAAATATAACATTGAACTATAGATTTTGCAGGAACAGCTTTATGTATGCCAACAACTAACAGGCTACATGGTGGTACAACTAAAAGAGAATATATGCTAATAATCTAATTTTATACTGCCTATTCTATAGGTATTTGTCGTCTAAATATTTTCAAGATAGGTTTTGTGTTAGCGAGTTACACACCCTTCCTCTGTTAAACAAGGCGACACGGCCGAGGGTTTTCTATTATACACTTTAACAGTAAAAGTGGGTCATTACTTATGAACATGAAGCCCGGCCACGCTGTAAACCGAAAGTAGGAATGTGTGTCAGTCAACTAACACTAACATTCAGGATACACGCAGTACGAATCAAGGTATAGGCACCACCTTCAGCAGCCTGATAGTATCTTGACTTACTCATGCAAGTTTTCACCCTGAATATCTAACATTTATCTGTGTGTAGGGGGACAAAGTGAGAGACGAGACACAACACACCTACCTGGACAGGTAACTTCCTTCTCTTGTGACACACACGTCACGTCCGGGAGATGACGTGTTGTTACAAGTGTGTTATAACCGAGACATATACATACGTTCACAATAATAACGACTGTGTCTATTCCCATATATATATATATATCAGTGTAGTGTGTTTATGCACATGCAGTCACTGTTGCTGTGGGGTTTACCCCTCAGCCTAACCTGAGACCAAACTATAATTTGAACGTAACATGTAGTTCATTCAGTGAGATTCCACGAGGCTATATTTTGGTAAATATGTGTTAGTGAGGAGATTGAGGGAATGGGGTTGACGAAGGGTGTCATCGCATGACCTTTATTTGTTAGATAAGACTAGAGGAGGCTGCTTTGATCTTTATTTAATAAACAGCTTGTCTTCGCTCTACAACTGCATTTACACCTGCGCATCTCCATCCACCCATTACTGCACATGCTGCCTCTAACCGCAAGATAAACGACGTCTCGCTGTTCAGTTATCCAAATGTTGACACGCGACTCACTGTACTCACACCTCAACTGACTGAAATGAAAGAAAGATGGTCGTCAAGGTACACAACACACTGTGAATATTATACCACCCTACTAAAGTCTCTCTTCACACTTCGGACGAAGTGTGTCATGTCACTCAGAGAAACATTGGTAAGACGACAGCAGTTCTTTGTTCCAGTCGCATAACACCCATGTCGATCAGTTATTATATACAATGACATCTGCATCATGTGAGTCGATCTCGGACACAGTGCCAGTCACACAAGTACTAACACCCATTTACTGATTTTTAAAATATACTTAAAATGATTTCTTAATTTTGAATTAAGAATTGTTATATAGAATGCAATCAATGTTCTTTACATAAATGAACCATTACACAAGCAGTAATTCTCTCCTCGGGAAATATAAACAACAAATAATTTCGAAATGACACCATTTTCATTTTAAACAATTCACTTGAGGCCCCATATCAGGAGCGATAACTCATTGACAAGACAGAAACAATATGAAGTTCTACATAGTCATCATACATTCCCCACGTACATAGTACACAACCAACACGGGAGAACGCGCCCTTGTCCAACCAGGCACTGGTCCTGCTGTGACGATTGGTTTTGATTTCGATTTAATCCTGTTTGTAACCTTTACATCCTGACTTGAGAAGGGAATTGCTGGGCGCATCATGGTGTGACTTGACTAACGATGAACATCACTTCTTGGCATCTGGATACATATAATATTTAATTAGTAAAGACGTATATTTGAAGTAAGCATGTACGTCTCCCGGCCGCCTGACCCCTGGGTAACATGGGATTGTTAAACAAACGTCATCATCAGTCCTTCTGGTCCGATGGACGTGGGACAGACAGAAAGACAATAGTTTATTAACGTCTCACTTCTGTACATACATAAAACAGCTTTGTACAACTTGACATAGATAAAATGTACAGAACAATTCAATAGAATTATGAGAGACAAATTATCACAGAATTTATACATAAATGATATAAAGATGATATAGTAAGAAGTTATCCATATAAACGATGTTTTTCTACGATTAAGAATTAAAAAGCAGACTTTGGCAAGTACAAAACACACACTGGAGTCACTGAAAATTAAACAAAGTTTGTCGATATCAGGTATATCTAAAACATAAGATTTAGCAATACATTCATTAAAAAGAGTTGCCCTGATATCATCATATAATACGCAGTGAAACAAAACATGGACTTCGTCTTCTCCGCTGTCATTAAAGTGAAAACATTTTCTATTGTTGACAGGTACACCTTCGTACCGACCGGTTTCCACTCGAATAGGAGCCACGCCACATCTAAACTTGGCTAGTGCCGATCTATAGTTTCTGAGCATCTTATTTGAAACATAGTATTCTGTCCCATATACTTGTTTGTAACATCGGTACATTCTCCATTTATTAAGCCCATTTCGACCCTCTTCCTTTCTTAACATATCACTCCAACGGGTAACATATTCATTCTTACATCATTGTTCCACCTATGTACAAACAGAAAATTTATCAATAAAACCTGTAGCGTTTAATAGATGTCCTAAATCCATATTAGTAAACTTCTTTCTTACCTTACCATTCCAATTTGTACAACCATTTACAGCGTATCTATCAGCCCGGTTAAACACGTGTTTGTTTAACCTACTAGACATATTCTCAAGGCGACATCATTGTCTTGCTACACTTTTCCTCTGTCTGACAACAGGCGGTATCCATCCAATGTGGGATGTGCTCGGTGGCCAGTTCATCTAGCATGGCGATCAGCTGTTTATACACCCACCAACATATTGTTTACATAAACATAGACTCAAATAAGCCCTTACAGACATTATTTAATAAGCCCAGCCAATAACATAACTTTATAAGTTCAGTCTGTTTTGACAAAAAACACTTATTCGTGAGTCCAGTCTCGTACATACAAGAGCGCGTGCGCACACGCACACACACACACACACACGCACGCACACACACACACAAAGGTCCGGACTGGTGGAATCAGCCACACACACACATATGCGCGCACGCACGCACGCACGCACGCACGCACGCACGCACGCACACACGCACGCACGCACGCACACACACACACACACGGACATGCGCTTTCATAGGAGAGACGCTCACTCTAGTGAATGTACCTGTTCTGACAGATCTGAGTAATATTAAGCCAACAAGAGTTGTTCCCCTTACCCGTTCGTCATCACCAGTCTTGTTCACTGTAGGGTTTTACAGTAGAACTAAAAGATGCGTTTATATTGGTTGTTTAACGTCACACTCATCTATGAGGCCGTGACCTTTATATAACTGAGTCTTGACCATACAAACCAGTGACTGATAGTATGAGCAAACTTGACCAATCAATGTTGTATCAATGTGACGTCTGTTTCACGCCTTGCATACCTCACCTCAGACTTAATGTTGTATCAATGTGACATGTGTGTTTCACGTCACAGGATATCCATCAGTGATCATATCTTAGGCTGACGAATATACATCTATACAATCATATAAACTAGTAGGTGTAAGGTGATGTTGGGCGTCACAGGATATCCATCAGTGATCACATCTTAGGCTGACGAATATACAAATATACATATAAACTAGTGGGTGTAAGGTGATGTTGGGCGTCACAGGATATCCATCAGTGCTCATATCTTTGGCTGACGAATATACAAATATACATATAAACTAGTGTGTGTAAGGTGATGTTGGGCGTCACAGGACAACCATCAGTGCTCATATCTTAGGCTGACGAATATACAAGTATACATATAAACTAGTAGGTGTAAGGTGATGTTGGGCGTCACAGGATATCCATCAGTGATCATATCTTTTGCTGACGAATATAAAAATATAAATATATATAAAATCATGAGCATCGACCCGAGCAATTGGGATGCGATGACATGCATCAAACCAAGTCAGCGAGCCTGACCACCGATTCCGTCAGTCGCCTCTTACGACAAGAACAGTCACCTTTTGAGGCAAGCAAGGGTTGCTGAAGATCTATTCCACATGTTGACGGTTACAAAATAACCATTGTTTACAGTAAAGAACATATGTTTATTCGGACATGAAATATTACAAAACTGGTATTTCTGGTTAGGTCAGTGATTATTATTCCATAAAAAACATATTTCGTCGCGTAACTGTGTTTAATGGGAAATAATTACAGTCGACATATATTGATCAAAGATGAGCGAGTGAATGAGAGTGAGTTGAGTGGTTTGGTTAGCAAGCGAGTTGATGAGTGGGTGAGTAAGTGAACCAGTGAAACAGAGTGAGTGGTGAGTGAATCAGTTGCTGAGTGAGTGAGTGAGCGAGTGAGTGAATCAGTGGCTGAGTGAGTGAGTAAAATACATGTAGCTCATTTCATGTGTTCAGACTTATTTGCTAATTTCTAGATTATATAAATAATAAGAACAAGTTGTCCCTATAAGACTGGCGTACAGTTCACTTATCTAGACTTGCCTTTTGTAAGGGCAGGCTTACTAAACACACAGGGCAACCTTGTAGCAGAGACCATTAAATTATTTTGTGGTCACAACTTGTAGTAAGGCTACGGTCAATCGTGATCTCTCAAGTCTGTATCTAAAAAATCAGGAAGTCTGGAAGAGTCTGGAAGTGTTCGTAAAATCTGTAATCAACTCGTCATTCAAGCTTCTGTTTGAGCGAAAGGATCGTCAGTGTGTGGTGAGGTTGGTTCAACTTGTTTTCCATCAGATAAGAGTTCAGTTTCTGGACCAAAATCTGTAAGTTAGTGGCAGGGGTAACGAGTCTGACCTCGACATGACATTGAATGCAGAGCAATGTGTAAGCAATGGTGGACACGCAATCACAGGATTGATATAAGAACACACTAAAGACACCCTTTTCTAAATCAAACAAAGACTTGTGCAGCACTAAGAAAATAGCGTTCTCTCCTGTAAAGGTATATCTATGATTGAATGATGATTTTCTCGAACTGGGGGTAATACCCCCTAACAGTCTTCCGTGGTTTGCTGCCCGAGCTAACCTGAAACCATGTCTCTGTTATTCCAAACAAATATAATGTTTGAAAGAAATGACAGAAAATCCGAGTCAGTTATTTCAGAGGCTAGTCCACTATCTAAATATAATTGAACGCGACGTTAAACCTCATTTCACCCCACCACACCATGTCAGAGTGATGAGATCTGATTGGATCACGTGATCTTGATAAAAATCTATGTATCCCGTCTGGGAGAAAAATCAATTTTTGAGCGGCAGAATAAATTCCTTATGCTCCGCCTCGAACAAGACAAGCTGTACTTGATTTCTGTGGGAACGAACAAGTCCCTTATTCCACGCTTCGAAGCAAAAGAAAACACAATATATTTTTTTCGAGTCACGCAACGTCGCGTGACATACCTAAATTTAACCTCAGCTCACTCGAACAGCTGTTTTCCATCAATTTTGGATTTGTTTTAATTCTTTTGCAATGAGTTTAAAACATGTCTATAAGATAAATTCGTTGTTGGAGCATCACTTTGGGTGCATGTGGGTTTTTTGCGTCCAACTGAAGCGGATGTAAAATACGTTCTGGACTATTGTCGTAAGAAATGATCAAGAGGAATTGTTGTAGCAAAATGTCTTATAGAAATGCTTGAGAGTGTATTTAAATATATATTTGATATTTTGTGCTAAATCTACTCATTGCATACAACATATTTCACGTTAAACCAAAAGATATACACAATTTGATACAATAAGTTGATAATGCTTGTATTTACCACAGTCCGCAGTTGTTCCTGAGCAGTGAGTGTCTACTACAAATCTGTGTGTTCATATCACCATCATTGTCACCATCACGACAGGGCCTTGACAATCATTGTCACAATCACGACAACGCCTTGACAATCATTGTCACCATCACGACAACGCCTTGACAATCATTGTCACCATCACGACAGCGCCTTGACACTCATTGTCACCATCACGACAACGCCTTGACAATCATTGTCACCATCACGACAGTGCCTTGACAACCATTGCCACTATCACGACAGCGCCTTGACAATCATTGTCACCATCACGACTATGCCTTGACAACCATTGTCACCATCACGACAGTGCCTTGACAATCATTGTCACCATCATGACAGCCCTTGACAATCATTGTCACCATCACGACTACGCCTTGACAACCATTGCCACTATCACGACAGTGCCTTGACAATCATTGTCACCATCATGACAGCCCTTGACAATCATTGTCACCATCACGACTACGCCTTGACAACCATTGCCACTATCACGACAGCGCATTGACAATCATTGTCACCATCACGACTACGCCTTGACAATCAGTGTCACCATCACGACAGCGCCTTGACAATCATTGTCACCATCATGACAGCCCTTGACAATCATTGGCACCATCACGACAGCGCCTTGACAATCATTGATTTCTTCTCCTCTGTCATGTTGATGTCGCTGCCCACTACAAGTGTCATGCTGACAGTGAGGACAGATGGGTTATACACCCCGAACATCGGCCACAGTGTCTGACTAGAGTCTACATTGTCTAACGTCGACATCACTTTGTTCTCCTTCACATCAATGAAGACAATCTTCTTCCTGGTGTCATCATAGACAACACCGTAATGTAGTGTGTGTGATGCCCCTGCTGTGTTGGGGAGAGTGTCAGGCAGACACAGCACACGCTCCTCCTCCTTCCGTGTCCTCCTGCATATCCCGCCGTGTGTAGGACAGAGGGAGACATCCAGGCTGTAGGAGCTGGATCGTGCATTGATAGAATGATACACGTCCCTCTGCTCCTCCCTGCATACACCCACCTCCAGGATGAGGACGCCCTCTGTGAGTGGTTTGTCCAGACTGACCCTGTTCAACACCTCCCAGTACTGGGGACAGCCAGCCCGGGGGAGGGGGGCAGTGCTACATGTGCCCCAGTACTTCTTCAGTCTCCCCTCCCCTGCAGGTCTGGTGTCCGACTCCCTGTTGACCAGGTCTCCTTCTGTGTTGATGTGAGCCCAGTCGAGATTGACTCTGTCTTTGTCATACTTCAGATGTATACCTACAACATATGAATGTAGTTTACTTGTGAATAAAACATAAGACAAATAGTGATAGTCAAGTTCTATAATGATATTTAAATAAAAGAAATTCACAATTTACTCATATACAAACAGTATAATATAATCACAGTGGAGTAGTAAGAACATAAAACCTACTGTGTAATACCTTGTGTTTACATTGGATTCACTGATAATCCTTTAACCCGACTGTAGAATTAGTAAGTGACAGGTCTAGTGCGTGGCTCGTCAGTTGTCAAATTATTCAGAACGGCAGACACACGACATCAACATTAATTTAATTACGTCACACAAGTAAAAAAATATTTGCAGTTGAGATACTGAATTACAAATACGTGGGGATATACAGAGCACGACAATCACACAATGGGCGAACAGACGCAATCACAATGTACACCGTGTTATTTCAGAGACACTAATGAACGTGGTATAATGAGGAACATGTAGATTGCATGTCAATGTTGAGATCACAGTGTCACGTGACCCGGTGACGTCATCTAGAAGCTGGTGAAGTATTGTGTGGCACGTTGCAGGACGCACGTGGGTTGACGATGGATGATAGTATGGTTAGGCAGCATTGTCAGTAGAGGATACCAACAATAAGACCCGTGAAGATTCCGGGGTAGAACAGGTCTTCAGCAACCCATGATTGCCGTAAAAGGTGACTATGCTTGTCGTAAAAGGCGACTAACGGGATCGGGTGGTCAGGCTCGCTGACTTGGTTGATCAATACATGTCATCGATCCCAATTGTGTGGATCGATGCTCATGATAGCAATCACTGGATGTTCTGGTCCAGACTCGAATATTTACAGACCGCCGTCATATAGCTTGAATATTGCTGAGTGCGGCGTTAAACAACAAACCAACAACAACCACAAACAATAAATAACACAATAAACCACACTATTTTGATATATTTCTAGAATATTCTTGTAGATTGTAATTTGGAGTAGATGTTACATATATGTTATAAAGTCCTTCTGGTTTCTTTATGAAGAACTTGTTGAGACTAAAAGCAGCTGAATTGAATGTAAATATACAAATATTATTCGAACAACCTTCCCGCAGACCCGTGAAGATCCGGCTTGATAATAAACCTTGCTTGTGGTAACAGGCGACAAACGGGATCGGGTGGTCAGTTTCGTTGGCTTGGTTGATGCATGTCATCGTATCCCAATTGCGTGGATCGATGCTCATGATGTCAATCACTGGATTGTCTGGTCCAAACTCGATTATTTACAGACCGCCGTCATATAGCTGGAATATTGCTGAGTGTGGTGTTAAACAAACACACAAATAAACAGAACAAAACTTCCAGCTTGTTGTTGTGACAAGGAACATCGCGCTTCACGTGCGAAATAGATTCGCCGCCGGTCAAGCACGTGCAACTCGTGACGACACCGCCCTTAGCTCAGAAAGCAGATGCGAGCAGACGACAAAATGGTTACAAATTTCATTCTACAGTCAAGTCTCTTTTAACCGACACTCGTTAATCCGACAGTCGGCTTTATCCGACACTAATGATGGAAACCGATTAAATCAGTGCTATTTAGACCCGTTAATCCGACCGTCTCGCACTCCGACTCCGACACACCTAACTTGCAGCAAATTACCGAAATCACTCATTAATCAGTCTCGTTAATCCGACACAGTGATCAGCGTACTCCGTGGTCATCTCCCTGCGAGTACACAGTCTGTGTTTTGATACGAGACGAATCGTCGAGTAGCTGCATATTTCAACGGCTGCACAGATAAACTTGCTTATCAATAAACAATTACTGCTTTAAATAAACAAAACAGGATTTATCACATGCCTAGATTACCTTAATCTCTTAAAATCGGATACTCGCTACCGCTGAGGACATCCTCATTACAGGTCACGTCAGAACGACCTTTCTCGAACTTTGACTGACCAATGAAATTACGTATTTATTTCTCAAAAACAATAGTCGCAAATCAAAGTTTACTCTATGACTATCGTTGGTTATTTGAAACTCGGATGTTAAGCGTAGTACACGTGTCAGTGCATGGAAAAAGTTCTATTATACCACAGAGAGGGTATTAAGAGTGAAAATAGAACTCAACTAACTGTACCATGTCCAGTTGTGATCACACGAGTGACCTAGGGATCGGGATCATTTATTTTATTGATTATAATCTATAAGAAATATTTTTAATAATTTTTGTCAATGGTCGCAAACACAATTATCCAAATAAAATCTGTAAATACTAATCAATAACTCTAGCTATTTACTGTGGTTTCCCGATTTATATATGCAGTTAAGGAATATTGAATAAGTGTAAAAAGAGGTTGTTAAATAGCATTTTCCATTAGAAACGATTGAAATATTGTAAATACAATCGACAAAACCCTTTCCATAAATTAACGTGACATAACATGGGAGTGAGTGTTTTACTGTTGCTTATTATAAAATTACCAGCACTAGTAATGCAGCTATTCGCGTGGGCGATGAGTGAGTGAGTATTCGTCTACTTCATTGGGGAAATTGGTGCAATGATACCAAAATAATGTTAGGTTTACTTATTAGCACACATTGCATTTTTTATTCATGCCTCGGCCATGGTGTGAGATATCTAATGAATAACTATTCGTCTTATGTTTTCTATACTAGTATCTATCTATCATCTTGGACAATTTACAATATTCGGAATCTATTTCACCTTATTTTCTCTCTGTAAATTGTCCGGTTCGTCTTTTGGCTTTCTTTCCTGAACAAACTATGGAAGTTACATCAAACTTAAAATGGCAACTGTCATCCCACCGTGTCATTTCGATCGTCAACTTCGTTGCTTTGCGCGTTATAACGGGGTGTATCATGGAGCCAAACAAGGGGAGGCCATCAGTGTAAATGCATCATCCTACAGCTGATTACACTTAACTTGGCATGCATTTTCTTCTAATTAACGGCATGGTGATTCTGGGCCACAGTATGTTTCCCCAGCAGCCAAGAGGCGAGTGCATGGATCGCGTTGTCAGGCTTGGTCACTGGTAGGTCCACGTCTCAACGCATCTCCAGGTCAGTAGGCGGAATGACAGGACGAACATGTGGAAGTTCCAGTGTCTTAAATCGTGATTACTGAACCCAGATGTTCATGTTTTTGAGATTGGGGCCACACACATTGTCTACGGCATGTTCAACGTGTAGCAATGCTAGTTCTATAACATTGGGATAATCATCTGATACGTTGTGTATTTACATGTGAGCGACGGGTAGTGTATCTATAACAGACCGCCATCATACAGCTGGAATATTGCTGAATGCGGCGTTAACGAACCAACAAACTAACCATAACAAAGTTTGTCAGTGTATATTGTCAAGTGTCAATAAGTCGGCGATTTTGTTAAGAAATAGAATAATAATGCAGTCGAACTGATTCACACAGGCGCGACACAGTTAACAGTGTTCATGGTAACAACATGAGGAGAATGTTGAACAATTCACTGTACCTGCCTGTACGTCATACGATTAACACATTTTCTTTTTGCTGGCTCCTTTATAAATTATCTTGACCCATCAAGTGAATAGCTGACAGTCGCACAGCTTCAGACATATCAGAGTTCTTGTTGGACCACACCGTGAGTCTCCTCTGTGTGATGCTCGTGAAATATACTACCGACAAATAATAGGGGAACTAAAGTCCTCGCCTCCTGACATAGAGTCACGAAATATCGCGATTATTTATTAACGAAGTTAGCTGCATGAGTGCTGATACTTATAAATCGAAAACTGGACATTTCGCTGATAAGGAATATGACTTACAGTAATACAAATTATTAATTGCGTTTTGGTCATGTTGTCAGAAAGCGACTGAGGATCGGCAGTCACTGACCGCGAGCGATTATATATTTAGCAGCGTTTTGGAGCGTACGAACATTACCAGCACGAACTGAAAGGAGAGTACGTGCAGATGAAGTATTTAAAGGGCCATCGACCAAGGTCACTGCTAAATATTACGCTCGCAGTCACCTGACTGTAGAATTTCCCCCATTTTTAAACCCAATGATGATCTTTATTGCAAAGAAAATGAACATTTCTTGAAAATCGCACTTTAAATTTTGTTACATTATCGTAAGTAATATTTCTATTGGCGGAAAGGCTTGATTTCACTCAATACATATTGGCACACATTAAGCTTTCTTCTTAATCAAGAGACGACGCTTGTCGTAAGAGGTGACTAACGGGATCTGGTGGTCAAGCTCGCTGACTTGGTTGATGCATGTCATCGATCCCAATTGCGTGGATCGATGCTCATGATATTAATCACTTGATTGTCTGGCCCAGACTCGATTGTTTACAGACCGCCCTCATATAAGCTGGAATATTACTGAGTGCGGCGTTGAACAACAAATCGACAACAACTGACGTTAATTAATCATTGCGACGTGATATTTCAAGTGGAGAGAGTTATAATGTCTTGAAAGTAAGAGTGAGGCGCATTTGCAACGAGAAACCGCGCCAAAAATGCATTTTAGCTAAACACACGCTAAAGCATGCCACATAGGCAGTATCTCAATTAACAGACCAAATGGCGACTTGTGAACACGATAGAGGGTAGACGTCAATATTCCGAAGTTGCCCGAATGTTTGGCACTTCAAAAAGTGTAATTTTCAGTCGAACGGGTGGGGTTGCAATGCGACGTTGCCATATGACGTTGAGAGCGACTTGATAATACCCCATGAAGTGACGCCCTGCTGCAATATACCCTTATTGAGGTTTTCAGGAAAATTACTTGGATGTATGAAATATGGGTATCTTGCAGCCCTGCCTCCCCTGATGTATGAAATAAGGGTATATTGCAGCCCTGCCTCCCTGATTAATGGAATAAGGGTATCTTGCAGCCCTGCCTCTCCTGATGTATGAAATAAGGGTATCTTGCAGACCTGCCTCCCATAATGAATGGAATAAGGGTATACTGTAGCCCTGCCTCCCCTGATTAATGAAATAAGTGTATCTTGCAGACCTGCCTCCCCTGGTGTATGAAATAAGGGTTTCTTGCAGCCATGCCTCCCATAATGAATGAAATAAGGGTAAACTGTAGCCCTGCCTCCCCTAAGTAATGAAATAAGGGTATCCTGCAGCCCTGCCTCCCCTGATGTATGAAATAAGGGTATCTTGCAGCCATGCCTCCCATAATGAATGAAATAAGGGTATACTGTAGCCCTGCCTCCCCTGATTAATGAAATAAGGGTATCTTGCAGCCCTGCCTCCCCTGATTAATGAAATAAGGGTATCTTGCAGCCCTGCCTCCCCTGATTAATGAAATAAGGGTATATTGCAGCCATGCCTCCCATAAAGAATAAATAAGGGTATACTGTAGCCCTGCCTGCCCTGATTAATGAAATAAGGGTATCTTGCAGCCCTGCCTCCCCTAATTAATGAAATAAGGGTATCTTGCAGCCCTGCCACCCCTGATTAATGAAATAAGGGCATACTGTAGCCCTGCCTCCCCTGATTAATGAAATAAGGGTATCTTGCAGCCCTGCCTCCCCTGATTAATGAAATAAGGGTATATTGCAGCCATGCCTCCCATAAATAATAAATAAGGGCATACTGTAGCCCTGCCCCCCTAATTAATGAAATAAGGGTATCTTGCAGCCCTGCCTCCCTTGATTAATGAAATAAGGATATACTGTAGCCGTGCCTCCCCTAATTAATGGAGTTGGGGAATATTGTAGCCCCCCCCCCCCAAAAAAAAAAAAAAAAGAAGAAGAAGAAGAAAATGGAGGAAGGCTATATTGTATCCCTGCCTTCCCTAATCAACAGAGTGAGGCTATATTTTAGCCCTACCTCCACTTAGAACTAAAGTGAGGTATTTATGTGTTACCATGTAAACTTCAACCACATACGACAGGATATGACAACAGTAACATATGTTGCATGTACTTACACTGAAGGATAGATGACCAGTCAATCTTTCCTGCATCCAGGAAGTATATTCCTGAAAGAAGAGAAAACTCAATGTATTTCAGAATCATTTCATGACTACAATAACTCGTACGTTGGCAAGTACCAAAGCATCGATATTTCTCTAGGTATTTTACATGACAATGTGCAGTTATCTGCATCCTAGACTGCATGTCGACATGACACATCGAGCTTGGCTCCAGAGGAAGTATGTTATTTATAACATATTCTAACATCTGAGTTATGATTAGTTGTTTGGAGTTCTTTGTCTTCCTCTTATCAAGTAATGAATTCCACGGAAACCTGTTTATATTCTTGAAATTATTATTGAAAAAATCAGAAATCTCAAGTATCCTGTGGGGGTTGAGGTGTTAGGGTGTTAGGGATGGCACTCCTATCCTCACATCTGAAAGTCACACTGGAACACGAAACTAAATTAGTATCATCGCAATACAAAAACACATTACAACTAACAAGATGACCTAGTATGATTGAAGAATTGTAAACACCATTAGCAATAATAAGCAGTCACTTCACTTGAAATTAACATGATGAATCTTACCTAGGGATTCCAGGTTTAAGAACGTGGCATTTTCTATCAAGCGTTTCCTCTCCATTTTGAAGTCCTAATTTAAAAACAGAAACAAATTCTAATATAACATTGGTTGTTGCGATACGACTTCGTGTGTTTCATGTTAAGTTAAGAATTTTAAGGGGCGTGTATTATCATACAAAATTATGACATAGCATGTTATACTAATATATGTACTACAACTATACTAGAGAAAATCTCTTGGGAAAACTTGCCAGTGTGAAAATAACATCTGATATAAAGTGAAGTCATTTACTTACGTCATGTACGAATGGTGGGATAACATGTGCACTACATATGTTTATCAATCCATAATTAATTTATTGTATATTCATGGAGAAAATACACCGGAGACAAAAAATGAAAAGTTTAACATGTTGTTTGTTCTTTTATTTACCTTTTCCTGATCTTTGAAAATGACGATCTCATTTTGCAAGTCTAGAAATTACAATAACAAAAAATATATATGGTGAGTGTAATCTAGAAAGATATCATGATGTGGTTTTGGTTTTCAACCCATTATAATGGATATAAGATATTTCGATGTTTTGTAAATTTATATAATAATTTATAGAATTAAATAATGATTTCAAACACACGAACTCAATTTATACCACATGAAGAAAGAAAATTACCTGTTATGGTCGGCATGGTATCTAGTTCATCTACGCCCTTGTCAGAGGTGCTGAAGGTGCCAAACATTTCAACCAATTCGTGAAGAGCTCTATGTCCTTGACGAATGAAACTCATGGACTGTGACTTCACTGAATCTTCGGGAAGAGACCGGAGAAGGTCTTCGTCTATCTTGCTGACAATGGTAGATGACAGATTCATGAATTGGGCGTGTGTTGTAGATGCCATGGCTCTTTCAGCATAACCTAATGTAGTCAGTACAGCTGAGCTATTGGTCTCCAGACATTCCATATCTTTCCGGAGAATACTTCTGTTTTCCTCTACTTGATTTTCTATTTTCTGGGTGTGATGCTTTAACCTTTGAACCAAACTCAGAGCAAGGCCGCTATGGACATCAGCTATTTCCTTCTTCACTTGATCTGCCCTTTCCTCCAGCTCTGTAACCCGGATCTGTTGCTGTCTGGAGGAGGCCTTTATCTTCTCCAGATATTCCTTGTGCTGACGAACTTTGTTAACAAGACTCTCTTCAGTTTTTTTAAATGCTACATCCAGTGCTTTAATACCATGGTCGGTGTGGTTTCCTCTGATACACACATCGCAAACTGATGTGTTGCATTGTTTGTCAAAATATTTGACAATTTCACGAGGATGAGTTGAACAGGTCGAGAGACCTAGTCGTTCCCGAATTGGCATTTTCTTAAACTCCTCAGCCAGTACAACCGTGTGTTCAGAGTTTGCTCTTGCCGTCTCGTGTTTCGTTGTGCAATTAGCGCACATAGATATGTTGCACGTCTTACAATGATGTACAACGTCCCCCTTGCATTGTTCTGTTTGGTATTCACATTCAGGTTTTTCTTTTGCAAATGTGATTTCATTTCTTCTCACGAAGTCGACTGTTCCACTTTCCTCCACCATGTTGATGTCTCGCCCACATGAACACACAATGTTCTGCTGGTCGAGCTGGTCAATGCAGGGTTTACAGGCGGCATGGAGACATGGCAACAGGAGCAGTTGTCTGGTGTCACAACCTGAAGAAGTTTTCAGAACACACCCAGTTTCCTCCACTAGAGTCGCTGAAAGCGTTAATAAAAGTGTATAAGTGATAAACCTAACAGTTGCAAGGAAGCATATCAGTACATGTTAAAAAGACCAACCTTGAGATGTTATTGAACCACTATTTTCTCTGGTCTCTCTGTCAGTGTGAATGGTGGTAAGGGCTTCAAACTTTTGCTCAATTTCTTTCAAATCCTGAAATTAAGCAAATTAACAAATATATTCTATAATAATTTCTATACCAAATAAATGTTTATAATGACATATTGAGATTACATCAACTACGCATAATATGCAAAATGACATCAATATTTTTGTGGAATTCATGTGATGATGAAGGACATTTGAAGCAGAAAAAAGAAACTGTACATTCCAATCACCGTGTGCGCGTGGTCCAATGTCGCTTTAAACATTACTTGAAGTATATCACAGCGTGTCATGTAATGTCCCTTTATGTTCCCACATGACTCACAAGACGCATAGGTTTGTTTCATACCTAAGGTACCCGACGCCGCCCAGCGACATGGCATTTTGCCCTTCCAACCAATGAAACGAATTAATAACAGATAATGAACCACCATAAGCACCACCTGCCTACTGTAACGAAGGCTTACCTTGGACATACTTTCATTTTTGCCTTTCACCTCTTCTAACAATGCTTGAACTTGAATAAAAACGAAAACAAAATGACGAATCCAATCAAGGAATATTTTAAAACAAACATCCTCCAAAACCTTGCCATCTAAATGCATTATTTAAACTTATATTTGTATATTCTTCTTTTAGTAAATGTCATACATTTTGATTCCGATAGACACGTTAGGTTCTATTGCCTACACCAAACACTATACACAGAACACAAATAGTGGAATGGTATCTTGTATCATGATGTCTTACCCGCTTTCGTCCTGTTCTTCTCCTGCTCCAGCTGCTTTGACAATATGCTATTTTCCTTCTTTAAAGATGTTTCCTGCTGTCCATGCTGCACATTTAATTCTTTGACATCCTTCTCCCATTCAGCCTTGGTATGTTGTGCTTCTTGTCTCGAATCATCTAGTGCCTTGAAGCGAATGTTGCATTTTTAGGATCTGGTCTCATGTAAGGTCCGTTTACTCATACTGGTGGTATATATACACCTAACAGCCACTCAAATAATCCCCTTCATAAAATATGTTTTAAAAATTGAAAATAATAAACCTTTGTTAACTTATCAAAACAATTACTACAAGAATAAAACCTCCAGGGCCATTACAAAATTAATGTCTACCTCCTGCAAGACAGCAACCTTCTGTTCCATTACATACACCCGCTCCTGTACCTCTGTCTCACTGACAAATACCAGGCTTGGAGAATCTTGAACAAAACCGAAAATGTTACATGCACACTGTGACTAAATAAGCCAAAAACATAAGGTCTGTCAATTCTATCAATTTTAACAAGCTCATTCAATACCTTTGGGAGGACAGAGGGAGGGGGACGGTGTAGGAGGAGTGTTAAACGACTTTGATTCACAATCAGTTAAAGCAGTTTAATTACCATGTTCCCAAGTGCAATCCTAACCTCTTTTCAAGGTTCCAAGCCACACAGGAAGCCAGTTGCAAAATAATTCAATTATTGATCATGCTCTGTGGAGTTATAAAAATGCTAATTATTGATCATATTGATATGTAGGGTTCCAATCGGCATTTGGTATGATGACATTAATGGCAGCATTCAAGAAGGTTTTACCTAATTCATTAGCAATGTCAGATATACACACTACCAAATCAAGTAAGGTTATATTAAAGTCAGATAGTTTTTTTCACAATGTCTACCTTCATGTTTCGCTGTTTTGTCCAACTGCTCTTTGAGGTGTCTGTGGTTTTCGTGTAGCACAACACAGAATTGTTTATACACATCCTCTTCCTTTTTCATCAATATTTCCAGCAGCTTTTCAATCTTTGCTCGTTTCTTGTCTTCTTCTTTACAGCTCCTATACTCCAACTCACTGAATGCTCCGGTAGACCACAGGTTGTCAAGCACCTCTTCTGGGTGCAGCTCACTTTTGAGTGCAGGTAGGTTCTTTCTGATAATTTCTGCATGATTCATGTTCTTTCTCCAGAGTCTCTCTGCACCAGGTTGTGTATCCTAGTTGATTAGAAGCTAAAGTATCACTTAGAATCATAAACATGAATGTTATCTACGTGATGGAATGCACAGAAGTATGTCATTATAGATAAGTAGAAACCCGTATGGTTTGTACCACAGATGCATAAAATGATCAAACCAATGGCAGATAACTGTTCGTAAATGAAGTATTAAAACTATGGCCAAGTATGCTTAAGCTAGCAGAGTGAGACAATGGGGAATTATGTGTTAAGCATCAAATGTAAATGTATACATGTGGACAATGTAAAGCGCACAGATTATGTATTTGCTTAGAAACAATCCACAATGAGACATTTAAGATCTTAATTGTGAGCCTGGTCTTATGGGTAAGAATTTAAATTGATAAAATATTGATGAAACAATTTAAGATGTCGTTGTTATTGTTTTTATAATAGCGCTACCACACCTAACACAGAGGTAATGAATGCGAGAAATCCTTCTTTCAAAAAGTAAAGAAAGGAATTGTCTGTCCGAGAGGGAAGTTCCGGAAGTTTTTGCTGCTCAAGCCTGACTTGTTGTTTCCTGTGTGTATAAAACTTTACACAGGCTAATGTCGAAATTTGTCAATGTATTTCACAATGATCACTGCATCTGCACCATATACAGAACAATACTATACATCTGAAAGAAGTAACTGTTCAATTGTAATCGGAACACAACAATCTTCTGTCATTTGCTATCTCGTTTCGTTGGATCTGTGCACAGATAACAGAAAAACATCTACTCAACTGACATTAGCGAGGAGCGCCTACACCTGGAATTTTACACATTTGCCATTGGTACTTCCAGCACTTACAGGAAATATGGTAAGATGGACATGTTTCCATGCATAGATCATGGCCGCTTTGAACTGTATTCAAGTTATATCACGCCACATTCAGCTCAATGTGGAAGGAAAGCCGGACGTGATGCAGGTCTCTGAAGTTTACCCGTTCACCACTTTGGAAAACCCACGAGCACATTGACAAACATGGAAAGGAATCATGGCGAAGCGTAATTCGAACCTACAGTCCTGGGTTTCTAGATTTCCCAAGGGACGCAACTCTGCATGGTGAACTGAAGTACCTCAGACTACTTGACCTTTCGTGCTCATGCTCAGTTGTGATTGTTAAAGTGTTGGATTTGCGATCATCTTAACACTGACATCTATCCGTGCAAGTGGGCCCAGGGTAAGACTTACAATTACAAGCCACTAATATGTATTACGGACATAAATTATCATCCTATGCAATACAAATTAAACGGCACATAAGGCTATTCGCGTTATCTACACAAAACATAGCAGTAGTTTGAGTGTGTCATGGTTTGTAAGTATGGCTTACCCGTCGTCCTTGTAAAATGAAGAAGAGAAATAGTGTAGTCACGTTATAGTAAACTACAGGCTCCACAGTCTATGAAACACTATGAAACAGAGGAATGTGTACCTGTTAGGGATCATCAAAGCATATGCACATGTACATGCAAGTTTTGGCTTATCTCTCAAGTGGCATACTAGGCGAGAGACGAGACACGACACATCTAAATATACATAGATGTTCTACACATCCAGATTGCTACCTTGTTTTCTTTATAATAATGATATATTGCCCAGCAAACGAACTTATATTTGGCTTTCAAAGAGATTTCATGAATACACATCACATATATTTACGTTTTTACAGGGAGTTAGATTTACTGAATATTTATGTTTATATTTTGTCCTATTCGACTGATATAATTCATACATTTCTTCTTTCTTGGTTTGATCACTGGCTGAAGAAGATTCCTTTTCATCTTTATTTTAGCTGTATCTTATCAAGATATTTTCATAAAGTTCGGGGTAATGCTATTAATATCCCCCATGTTATTATTAATGATCTATCATATAATCAGTTCAGGGTCTTTCTTCAAGAGGCTGTTTCAGATATCTTCTGTCTCATACATCTTCCCGAGGCAAAGGAGTTAACTGACTATAACAGTTCACATTCCGAACTAGGCTGAAATTATGGAGTTACATTTTGGCTGGACTAACGAGTCTATGCAAAGTCAAATCAAATCGTGTAACAAACTCGACAACCGATTTATAAAGAACATGGCGGCTGCTGTGCAAATTTCAGTCAATTGCACGATTTTCAGAGCATGTGGGCCATCAACTTGGCGTCGACAGATCTAGATATTTTCCAAATCTTTTCATGTTTTTAATCTAAGTGCTCAAATGATTTGATGCTATCGCGAATTAAGACCCGTTCTATAAAAATAAAGAGCTTGATTAATAGATCAGATTGATTTTGGTGTCGCCATTTTGTTGAAGCAAATGCAGGTGATATGAGAGACGGAATCTGATTGGTCAATAGCGGGGACCAAGAAGGGAAATAGCTTATAAAAGCGACTGGTGGCGCTACGAAGGAGACACAGAATTATTGCCTGGTGTTGAAAGTTATGTTATCGTCAGCCAACTCCCTTTCCTCGGGAAGATGGTTTCATATGATATTGATACCTTTTTGTTTGATCTTTAATTTCTACAGATTTTAAAGATTTTACATATTTTCGTATTGTCATGCACGATACCATATAATTCGGTTAAGTAAGTAATGTTTGAAGGAGAACTAATGTAGGTTCTCAGAAACCAATCTGGTGTGATCCCTGTTTTATGTACAACAATATATTGTTTAAAAACTTTGAAATAAAATAATTTCTTTTATGCAAGCACATGTCATAAAAAGCATAATTGACTGTACATGCTACTATACATTAAGTGATATTTGTGCTTATTATATGAAATAAAAACATCAATAAGTAGTGTTTGATTATTCTTATCGTATTTCTTGAAAGCTTCTTTTGTAAATCAAGTGGCGTAATCATTAATAAATTTCATTCAAGACCAGAAGTAACGAAAAATAAAGAAACAATTTTCTCGTCAAATGAGCAAGAAAATGCACATCTTATTTATTGTGAAATATTACTCTGAAAACAATGTGGTCAATGAGGCAGACAGAACATAATGTTATTAAATCAATGCATCTTTTGTTTACACAGAATACTCTGTTTTCAGTTAAGATCAAAAGACA